CCAGGAATGGATTAGATCAAAGTGGTCTGGGGTGAAGTGTCCAAAAGCAGCTATGCTGTAGCACTGGAAGTGCACTGTCAAGCCCCTCCCCAGGAACATTCATTGAGCTAGGATGGAGTGACAGCATCATAGCTCAACAAACCACATGGAGCACATTGCCATCCTCCCAGTAGCTAAATGAAAAGACAACTGTTGATCACTTTTGGCTATTTCAAGTCTGTGTATCCATATTTCCAATCGACATTACTGGTTTTCTTTAGCATGTACAATAAAGCTGATTTCAAAGCAACAAGCATATTCTGAAGGAAAAGGGGAAAAATAAAGGACTGCTTTTGCTGCTCTTGCAGGGTGCAGATGTACTTGACAAACAGTGCATGACAGAAGTCTTAACAGCATGGACAGAGAGGGATTAGCTGGTGCAAGAGTTATCCAGGTATTACATCTTCCAAAAGCAATGTACAAATTACATCGGAGAAGGTGCCAAAAATCCCATGCAAATGATTCCAGAAAGCAAAGAAATAATACAACATACACCACAAACAGTTACTTGCTGATGGCAGTTCTGAGATGGGGTCTCAAGAAACAAAATGCTCTAAAATGTAGTGGGGTCTTTTGTGGTTGGATACTTGAGAGAGCAGAACCACCAAGTGCTCCAGGAATCCTGGCACAGGAAGGAGTCAACAGAAACCCAAGGGATTCCCAATGTTGTAACGTCACTGAGGAAATCTAGATATCTAGTTCTAATAGAAATGGGATATCCAAGACCATAGGAAATGTCTAAAAGTCCTTGTCTCAAACCTCTGAATACATGAGAAAACTCATAAGGCTTTTTTAAAGCACTTGCAGAAGTTTAAGTGACAGAAAGCAGCAAGGAAAGACCTTTCCCACCCAAAGGGATTAACTTTTCTTTTTTGGTACACAATATGAAACCCTTCCAAAAGACCCAATTCCAGAAAGTATTATGGACCCAGCTTCTGAGGAAGTTTCATGTTTTTCAGGCATTTCATGAAGGGCCTGAAAGACTAAAGGGATCAAAGCAGTAGTCACTTTAGAAAGCTTCTTGTACAAGATGTATAAATCATTGGTGATTTGTAAATGCACCCTCTGGCTGGCTGACTGCCTCTTGGATGGAGCAAAATCACCATAGAATGGTTTGTGTTGGAAGGGACCTTAAAGCTCATCCAGTTCCAACCCCCTGCCACGGACAGGGACATCTTCCACTAGAGCAGGTTGCTCCAAGCCCCATCCAAGTCAGGCTGGACCTCACAGGAACAGTGGATCTGAAAACTAACCCAAAGCTCAAATGAGAGGCATTAAGTTGGCCCAATGTAAAGAGAACATTGCTTTGTGAAAAAGGGGGAAGATTTGACAAGACAGAGGATTTTCTTACCTAATGGTATTTACTAAATGTGGTTGAGTGTTACCAAAATCAGAGGGGAGGACACACAGAAAAAGTTATAGCTATAGACACTAGTAGAAAGAAACTCACTCTTGTGATCTGGCCTCCAAAATTAGAAGGGTTTGCTTTCAATACATCAGCTGAAAACGTCACATCACAAAGAAGAAAAGAAAGTAAAAATGTAACAAGAGTGGAAGAGAGGAAAAAATACAAAAAGCAAGGATTAGTGCCCAGGCTGCTGCTGGGGTGTGAGCTACTCTATGGAGCAGGAACGAGCCAGTGAAGCTACAGGACAGAGCTCAGGGAGTGTGGAGCAGGAGCGGGGACGCACATACACATACACGCACAGACACAGCAATGATCCCACCTGGAACAACAGAGCTACTTTCACCAGAACAAGTAAAGGGCTCCAGGGTTTTGTGGTGTATGTTCAATGGTGAAGAGTGAATTTTTTTCCAAGAGGGAGGAAAAAAAGGACAAAAGAAGAAGTGGGCTAAGCAATGCTATCAGCTTTTTCATGCTGATTCCAAGAGCGGCTCTAAATGCTCCAGGAAGTTAAAGTCACCAACAGCTGACAAAACTATTGCACTGGGGTTTGATGCCAAGTCTCTCGATCACTCATCCCTTTGGAAAACGCATGGCCTGGCTATTTACCACAGAATGAACTGTGACCTTTTCCTTTGGAGAGGAAGGTGCAATGGTGCACTGGGAAACCCAACCCCAGCCATGGCCTTAAACATCTCCTGGGAAAGCAAACGGGCTGCGAGTCTGTTGGCAATGCTGCAGCTGCCTGTGATGCCTTCATTACAACAGACAGTTTTAATGGAAACAGAATTTGCTGCCTATTTCCTTAAATGCTGATCTTTGTGTGTCTCTGCTCCCCAGACCTCCCACTCTCTGCACACATAAACTAGAAGTGATGAAGCAAACACACTATCCTGGTGCGCTGCAGCTCCAGGACAGGCAGCGCAGCAACACCTGGCCACACCGGTACCGGAGCCCTTGAGGGTGACAAACCACCAACCCTGGTTTCAAGGCTGCCGAGAATTTACTACTCCCCATATGAGGGAGAAGTTGGTCTGATTTTGGGAAGCTGATTTTACAAAGGATTAAGATCTCAAGGCTGAGTTTCTTTTTGTTGCACACCAGAAATAAGAAGGGTCTTGCTGGGGAAGTATGGGATAGAAAAGCTCCACAACTGCACTATGCCATCCCCTTGGGAATGTAAAAATCATAGAATCCCAGCCTGGTTTGGGTTGGAGGGGACCTTAAAGCTCATCCAGCTCCAACCCTCTGCCACAGATCAACACTGAACTTACAAAATAGCCAGAACTTTTAAAGATACCCTGTCAGTGATTGTCACCTCACTCACTATTTCAAGTGCATCACTGAATCCAGTCATGTATCCACACAGAGAACAGTGGATAACCAGGTAAGCATAGCTCTGCCCACCCTCCTCCCCAGACTTAACTGGAGTGAAGCAATTAAAAGCCTGAAGTACAATTTCACAGCAGTAAAAGCAGTGTGTGGAAGCAGTGAAATGCTTTTTACCATGCTCCAGGGCTCAGCCTTCCCACAAAGCTATTTCAAGTAAATCGATATTTAAGCTCGGTTTACACTAAAGAAATTTCCATCTAATCCTTAGGCAAAGGTTCATTATTTTAATCCTCCAAAATCTCTAAATTACTTTTTGGAGCACACCATATGGGTGCTTCCCCCCCCCAACACCAGGCAAAGATGTTTAGCCAAGAATTTAATGTAGCCACTGTATCATCCTCAGAGGGCTTCTCCTCACTAACTCAGGAACAGGAGCCCTGGGAACCCATCTTAGAGTGAAACCAGCCTTTCACCACAGTGCTCAGCAAAGCTATCATTTCTTCAAGAGGATTAAAGCCACCAACATGCATTAAATCAAACACACAGCTCTATTGCTACTAGAGGATTTCAACATTAGGAAGCATTTTTTCATCATAGGCAGTGTGTTTTCTGAGGAAGCAGCAACACATTTCCAAGCTGTAGGATGAGAGTGACCATGAAGCCAAGAAATCCTACCCTGCTGGTTTATTACTTCAGCTCTAAGGACCACATCAGTGCCCACAAACAAGGACACAGATCACAGTTTGCCCAAATTCCTGCCCACTAGAAGCAGTACTTCATTGCCTCAAGCCTTCCTTCAGCTTGGAACTGTGTTTTATTAATAGCTGCCACCCACCTCAGCTTTGTAACAAAGAATAGTATTTTAACTTTTCAGCCTTGTTTCTAACAAAATTACTCAGAAGTCTCCAAATTTCCATGGGAATGCAAATTGAGCTCCTCAAGAACAGGTTTTCTGTAAGATCTGCAGCTACCTCAGTGCTCCAACGCAAAGAGGTCCTGGATCATCTCCCAGTCACTGCATAGCTCAGGAGTGGCCAAACTGGCAACCACCACCATCACCTTATGATTCCCTTCAAATTGGCTTCAATGAGCTGCACTCAAGCATCAGTGAAAAGCTCCCGGGTGAAATGAAAAGGGGACAGTGAGGATCCAGGAGCTGTTTTAACACGAAAACCCTCAGCCCGTGCTGTGACAATGGTGCAGGAGGTTTTGCTGGTGAGATGATGTGGAGGGAAGACCTGCCCAGGACCCAGCTGGAGTGCGTGGCTTTCCAGGTTTCTGGTAAAGGGATTTCCTATGCTTCTGTTGTCAAAGCCATGGAGTTTCACTCTACGTGAATGCCCATTCAAGAGGCATTCTTTGCCTAAAATTGCAGAGCAGAAAGGGAGTGTGATCCTCAGAATCAAGCACTCTGCTACACTGCTTTGCTAGACCTGAAGATCCAAGACTTCCATGAGAAGCCTTCATTCAGGAGAGCAGGATAGACTGCCCTATGGGATCCATGTACCATGAGATTTCAGACTTCCTCCTCCTTTGAGACAGGAGACAGCTCATGGAACAGCACAAGGGTGTCAGAGCCTGCTCCTCCCCTGCTATTGCTCTGGAGTTTCTCTGCCAACCCCTATTAAATAGGAGGATAATGCACTTTTCCATTACATGCCAGCACATTTCTGCCTTCCTGAACTTTTGACATGTGCTTGATTCTCTGCCACAAAAGCTTCTAGGAGTGAACTACACCATTAGCTAAATAAGAGCTCAAAGGATGGCAACCTTTACAGTTTCACAAGAGTGAGAACACAAGCCCTGCTTATATCTGGTAATCAACATTCTTTGCATGCTCAGAAATGAAGCGGAAAGAGCAGAGGGGAAATGGCACGAAACTGAAGCTTCATCTCATCTTCATTTCTTCCCTGACACCTCGGTTTCAATTTAGGAAAACATATCCTGTGTTAACAGCACATGGATACCCCAACACCACCAGTCACAGTGCCCAGTTCTCACATAGTCATAGAATGGTTTCAGCTGGAAGGGACTTTAAAGATCATCCAGTTCCAACCTGGAAACCAGCTTCCCAGAGAAGCATCTGGAGGTCTTGGTGGACAACAAACCACCATGAGCCAGCCATGAGCCCTTGCAGCAAAGGCAGCCACCAGTTCTACCACCAATGCAAGCAGAGCATTGCAAGCAGGTTGAGAGGGGTGATCTTTCCTTTGGTCAGTCCTGGTGAGGAGTACTGGGTGCTGAATACTTATTTTATGGAACACTCTCCCTACAGAAGGGCTCTTCTCCGAATGCATTTGCCATCAGCAAGCGAGCAGCTCAACAGCTAAAACTGGGCTGAGAAAAACACTGTGGGGTTTTCTGAGGGTAAAAAAGCCTCCCATGTAACACCCACTACCTCAGAGATTCTCTCTCCAGTTTCCTACATCCAAGCAGTGCTTGAAGACACACGTTGCTGGAAAGCATAAGTGCAAATCTCCCCAAACCAGGAAGTTCAGGGTTTGGATTTAGAGGACTCATCAGCCACAGAAGGGACTGTGCTGGTAATTTTATTGTGCTTTAATAGATCCCTCCCCCTCACCATTAGAAGCAAAGCTCCAAATAATGAGGGCGTGAAAAGAACTGCAGATCTGTAGTCTCAGTTCTTGGGTTCCACCCTCTTTCCCAAATAACTTCTTTATGGAAATACATTCCCTCTGTCCTTTTATAAAGAGAACCTATGGAGAATTCATCATCTACACCTCCAAAATGCCACACACTTCAAAAGAACATGCAATGAAAGCTACACGAAAGCCTGCATTTCAATCCTGGTCAGGGCTCTCACAGTGAACCTGGCAGAGGCTCACATAGGACCACGTCTGGTGTTCACAGGGAGTGTGGAAGGTGAATGTTTTTATTCTGTTGGGTCAGTGACTGAGGGAACCGCTCAACCCTTCACTGGGATGTGAGCAGGGAAGAGGTGAAGCTCTACAAGACTATGTAAATTCTTGATGAAGTAAACTAAGAGTAAGAGCTGGCTGCAAACACTACATTACTTACACGTGAGGTAATTCCAACTGTAAGAATTTCTGCAAGCTGCTCCGAGTGATGGGCAATACAGATGAGTTTTGCTTGATACGAATACACAAACAGGGGACAATCCCAGATAAGGTGTGCCACATCTGCATGCAAATCTAACATGAAGTAATCTATCTGGATGTCAAAACCCACAACCAAAATGAGGACCCATGGGACGTAAAGCCCTAAGAACACAGGCCTACTAAATCTGGAGTATTCTGTGATTATGGGAGCTCTCAAGCATATGGACACAGCCTATCTGCAGGAAAGCAGCACGAAATACACTGGGGCCATCTCAACTTCCCAAGGACCTTGAGAGCTGCAGTAGAAGTTCTTTTTCTACATTTGCTGCCTTTTGTATTTGTCTGGTAATTATTATAACTCTTGACAGTCAGGACCACGTAACACCCAGGGCAGGGGTTCTTCATAAACTACCAGTCCTACTTGGCAGGGACACCTTCCACTAGAGCAGGTTGCCCCTGTGTCCAACCTGGCCTTGAACACTGCCAGGGATGGGGCAGCCACAGCTTCTCTGGGCACCCTGTGCCAGCGCCTCAGCACCCTCACAGGGAAGAGTTGAGTTCATTTTTCCTCTTGCAGGGCCATCTTGCATGAACCCAAGTCACTTTTATTCCCCTGACTTCCCTGGAGAGGGACTGACCATTTGGTGACTAGAGAGGGTCACTGTTCTTTCAAACATCTGTACTCCTCATTCCAAGAAATAACTTCATTTCAGAAAATCTAGGGCACAACATTGCACACCTCCAGCAGGATGTTTACAATGACTTCAACAGGCCAATGCTTTGTGATGAGAAATTAAAGATGATTTTCCCTGTTAAAATAATCTAGAAATACTGCCTTTTGGACAGAAAGGTGTTGAGGTCGATTCAGACATATCCAAACACAACATGAAACCAGAATAGTCAGGAAATGATCATAATAAAACCTCCCCTTTAATTGTTTGGTGTTGACAAGTTGGTGGGTCCAGAATTTATCCGGTAGGGATCAAGCCACTTACCTATCATCCCTGTTTCGCAATAATCCTGAGTTCCTTCCTGGAATACAAGACAGTGTCTTTATAACTGGGGAGTGGAAAGGGATCTGAGGATGTAACAGCTATTTCCAGGGACAGCCTAATGCTCACTGAGGCGCAGAAGGAACAGGCAAACACTTCCACAGCATGGGGATGTGTAGCTAAAAATACTTCAAGGCAAAAATGATCCCATGGAAATCTGTCCAACGAGCTGAGGAAAAGGCAAAAGGAAGCACTGGTGCCGCAAGAATTACCACTGAGAAGACAAAACATTGCAAATAATATACACCAAGCTGGTCTCCTGTGATCAGCTAGGTTACTGCAATGCCTCATCTTTCTGAGAGCCTCCTGATTAGCCTACCTTGAAGAGAACTTGATGGTTTTCCTCAAAACATTTACGTTAGCCTTTCTGGAACGTTGCCTTCTTCTCCAAAGAGGCAAAATCCCAAACTTCACATGCCACATCTTATAAAAAAGCATTTTTTCTTTAAACTACCTTAAAATTTAGAGTAGACTGTTGGAAATGAGCCTCCCTTGAGCAGCAGTGGCCAGCAGAGGTGAGCTGGCGTTACTGTCCAAATTCACCTTCATTATTTCTAGGTAGTTTCAAGTTCACTCACTGAACACTGACCCAAGAGGGTGACACACATTTTGTGGCATAAAGCTGGACCAGCATTTTTTTTCCCTAAGCAAAGCATGATTGCTGCTATGTTTAAATCCCTGTGTGTCTAGAAATTAATGCTGGGTGACAGAGTGAGAGTTCGAGGGCTCATTTTCTCGAAAACCTGCCTGAAGTTATTGGAATGGGTGAAAATTATCCAAGAACATGACCCAAGAGGGTGACACACATTTTGTGGCATAAAGCTGGACCAGCATTTTTTTTCCCTAAGCAAAGCATGATTGCTGCTATGTTTAAATCCCTGTGTGTCTAGAAATTAATGCTGGGTGACAGAGTGAGAGTTCGAGGGCTCATTTTCTCGAAAACCTGCCTGAAGTTATTGGAATGGGTGAAAATTATCCAAGAACATCTATTCCTTAAAAAAAAAAAAAAAAAAAAAAAAAAAAAAAAAAAAAAAAAATCACCAGTACCCCAAATTCTTTCTACTGATGGGGAGATTACACCACCCTGTGTGTTCCCATGACATTTTTTTGCAGGACTCCTTTCATACCAATGAGGGGTGGTTGTCTTCCACAGGTTTGTTTCTCTTTCCATGGCATCTCTAGATGCTAGAAAAACCCTCAACCTCGTCAACCTCATAGAACCCCAGACTGGTTTGGGTTGAAGGGACCTTAAAGCTCATCCAGCTCCAACCCCTGCCATAGGCAGGGACACCTTCCACTAGAGCAGGTTGCTCCAAGCCCCTGTGTCCAACCTGGCCTTGAACACTGCCAGGGATGGGGCAGCCACAGCTTCTCTGGGCACCCTGTGCCAGCGCCTCAGCACCCTCACAGGGAAGAGCTTCTGCCTCAGAGCTCATCTCAATCGCCCCGCTGTCAGGTGAAAGCCATTCCCCTTGGCCTGTCCCTACAGGCCCTTGTCCAAAGCCCCTCTCCAGGTTTCCAGGAGCCCCTTTAGGTACTGGAGCTGCTCTAAGGTGTCCCCTTCAGGAGCCTTCTCTTCTCCAGGCTGAACAAGCCCTCACATCAGTCTCCCTATTAATCACCCAAGGGATTTAAACAGGAGTTGACATAATCATACTGCATCACCACCCAGTAAGAATGTGACACAAACAGGTTCTTCCACCTCCTAAATAGATGCGTGTCATTGCACTCAGGTTTCAAGCCAGCTGATGGAAAGCTCCAGGTGAAGTTCACTGCTATCGGGTAGCACAACTGCGCCACCAGCTCGGCCAAAGCAGCCCCTTTTCCCAGCACAAAGCAAAGGAATGAATTTCTGCTCCTAATTCTATTAAACCACAGTTCATCACAGTACTCAAACAGGAATTGCCCTGCCAGGAGAATTCTTGTTAACACTCCCTTCAAGCTATCACATCCTATACTTGATACATGGGAGGAAAAAATCCCCAACTCATGCTCTGTAATGCCGTAATCTTGGTTTTAATCTGTTGCTTCACTGCTATTTTGCAAGATCTAGTACTCGACAGCACATCCTCCTGAAGTTATCAGCATTTGAATGATTGCATCCTTAGAATTTATGACTAGGAACATCCAAAAACCTCCTTTGAGCAATTTCAACCTGAGATGAGCACAACACTGCTACCTGCTGTACATTCACATCTCATTCAGCAGCCTCAAATGGTTAGATCAGGCTAACACATGAACTTGTAGGGTTTACTGTGCAATCTAAAGTACGATGTAGACACTACGGTACATCCCTACCTTGGGAGCAAAGACAGTTCCACAGGGATTCTGAATCTTTTCCCAAGAGTTCCAGAATTTGGGAAGTGCTCCTTTTTCACAATTCCTTTGCCACAGCCCATGAATTCCCAATCTGTTGTCAGCAGCTTGACAGAACACAGACTAAAGTAACGAACACGTACACGTGGCACATCAGCAGCAGTCGCCAAAGCTGCACCACATTAAAAGCTGATGCAGACTGGGAACCCTCCATCCCCACAGGTCCTCTCCCCAGTTCAACAGCAGCCCATTTGGTGGGTCATTCAAGACCAGGCTCCTTGATGCCAACCATGGGCTGGGTTTTTTGTTTGTTGGGGTTTTAAATATACAGTGGGCATAAGAATCTGGACCAGTGACATGAGAGACCTATTCCTGGGGCTGTAAGGAAAATACCATACACTGGGGAAATTCAAAGTGTTAACCACAAACCAAGACCACTGCAGTGAGTAACAAACTGATGAGCTGTGTTATCAACACTTGTTTACCTGCTTGTGAGCGTGATCATAAGAGTTGATGTGGTTGTCAAACTCTTGATGCTTTTGGTACTGCTTGTCACAGAGTTCACAGTAGAAGTTTGCTCTGAGGTCTTCCAGTGCCTTGGCAATTGCCTTTTCTTTGTCAACATAATCCTGCAAAGTTCACACACAAAAACAAAGCTTCTCTTAAACTTCCTGGAAAACAAACCAGAAGATGATCTTGTCCTAAGGTATCAGTACATGTGGTGCTGATGGCAGGAAGGCAGTTTTGTGGATGCAGGAGGAGAGTTGCTGGATTGTCAGAGATGAAAAAACGAGGTTCAAAGCCTCAGCCTTCCCACACAAACAAACTGGCAGCTGCCTGCTCACAGAAGATGTGCAAAATACTCATCAAACCAAGGAAGATCACTGCTTTTGGTACAAAATCTTTGAATTTCAATGCTGATACTTCCTCCATTTTGAGTGCTAACAGATGTCTGCTTCATCTCAGTTTGTCTGCAACTCAACAGGGAGGAATGCAGAGCTGGGGCTGGCAAAGCACAGCACAGAAACAGTGGAGACTAACTCACTCCAGTGTAGTTCTACAGTCAGACAAATCCTCCCAGGAGCAATGCTGTCCATTAAGCTGAGCTCAAACACAGTGGTTACACTGGGAGTAGGTATAGGGAGTTGCCAGTTAGTAAAAGAGGGGAAGACCACCTTAAAGGTTGCTGATGGTACTTTTTTTCCTTGTGTAATTCACCATTAGGCGCAAACCCAAAACTCCAAGCATAGGAGGTGTCTAAGTTGGCAGTGATCACATCCTCCCCTCTTCAATTACAATCCCACCAGCAAAGTTAAAACATCACCCAAAACCCAAGCCAGGGCAGGTTTATCTGATGCACACAGAAGAAAAGCTACAAATGCTGCATTAAAGTGTAGTGTACTACCATCAGCACAGCCCACGCAGCCTGTTACCAATGGCACTTCAACTGGGATAGGGAGAAATCCTAGAATTCAAACTAACCTTAAATGTGAGAAAAAGCACTGAAGAGTTGAAGAGATCCAACTCTTCAACACAAACTTCTTAAGGGGAATTTCCTCATGTGAGCAAGAGCAGGTAGCAAACATTTAAGAATGATCTACTAGGAAAGCTCTTGTTCTAAGATCTTGTTCAAGGCAGTATGATTGATCCCCCATATTGCTACCACAGCAAAATGACATTCAAATATTGCTGAGCATGTTTTCTACCATGCAAAACTCATGTAAAAAGTTTCAACAGGGGGGAAAGATCTGAAAAATTCTAGAGCTAAAAAGCTGTTCTCCTTCTAACTACAAAAATCTACTTCAAGTTCCTGCCTCCATCTATCACCAGAGCCCCTTGTTAAGAAATAATCAACACAACCACGTAGAGGTTTGTGCCTGGGGCAGGTCCCCAGGAAGACAAAAAAGGGAAACAGAGCAGTGTGAGCTCCCCAGAACAATGACATGTAAAGTTCCTCTGCAACCCTGACCAAGCTTCCTGCGCCATGTGCCGGGGTTTTGTCAGGAAGCATCCTGTGGCTCAACAATGCAAACACAGCCAGCTGAAAGCTCAGGATCCCTACAAAAGGAGGGAATTAAAGAGCATTTCTTGCTTGCTTCTTGGTTGTGGAGTTCTCTGGGATTCCTTTGAGACTCACTGAATGGCTCATCAGGATGCAGCCACAGTTGGCAGTTGCATAATGGACTCCTGCAGAGCAGTGGAAAAATGAGGCTGGCAGAGATTTCCCGCAGATGAAACCAGAAAGGCAAGAGCCTGATGTTAAAGCCCACTGATAAAAACACAGCAGAGCTGGGAGAGGCTGCCACCAAGCTCCTGAGGGGAAAAAGCCAGTGCTGAATAGCAGCAGAGACAAAACAGTCTTGGAGAGCAACACACCTTCAACTGCGTTTGAAAAGACAACTGCAAAACCCAGGGACTTCCCCATAAATCATGCTGCAGATCTGAGCTAAAGCATCATGCCATGCAACTCACACACCAACCAACCACTCTGAAACCAAGGAATGCTTCCCACTCGACAGCTGCTGTCTGACAGGAGCTGGAGGGGTGCTGCCGGAGGGACCCAGGCTTTGGGCCACGTGCTGATGAGAAGGGTCCATGGCATGGCCAAACCTCCCCTCTGCAGCTTGCCCATGCTCTCATCCAGCCCATGGGAACTCTGATGACAATGCCCTGGTTCAGTACCTTGTACTTCTGCCTCAGCTCCTCGGTGTCCTCCTTCTCCACCTCCAGCACTCTCCTCCGCTCGGTGGCATCTTCAGCGTAATCAAGCTTAAAAACAAACAAGGAGAGGCTGTGATTTGTCCCAGGAGCACTCTGTGGCGCTGAGACTGACCGGGTGGGCAACTTCAACAAGATGAGGTTTGAAACAGGATCTTTGCCTGTGGTGCTTCACTTCCCCTGTTGTGCCATCCCACAGTGGAACCCACATGGGAACTGATTCATTAACCCCTGTGGGGTGAAGGCTCCCGGCAGCTCATCCACTGCCAGCAGCAACCTCAGCTTTATGGAAGGGAATTCCAAAGCCCAGAAGTGCCAGCCTCAGAACTCAGGTACCCACAGATGAACAGAGGATGTGTTTTAGGAGAAGTGTTTCTTACTGTGTTGATTTAAGAGTGAGTTTTTCTTTACCTGTGATGCACAAACCCTCACTTTTAGGTTTCTTCCCTATCCCCAAGAGCCAGGCAAGGAGGGATGGGACACATGGCAGGAGCTCAGTGACTTACCTCCATTTCCATCCGCCCCATGCCCATGACATCATACTTGACAACGATAGGGATGGGATCTGTCCTCCCTGGAAGAGGAACACACAGAGAGGCGGTCAGTGGCTGCTCTGTCACTGCAGCTCGCTTTACACATTGGGTTTGGGTGGTTAGAGATCTTGCCTTGGAGTGCAGAGACCAGAAAGCTACAGTGAACCAAACACAAGCCATTCTCACAGCTTACAGCCAAACTGCTTCTTAGCTCCAAACCAGTTAAGAGTGAGATGCACCCCGGGTACTGATCAATGGTATTTTCTGAACATTAACTGCTCACATAAATTACTGGCGTGGTCAATGTTCAGCTGTGACAAGTCCTAGAGCGGGACTTGAGAAATGCACCTTCCCCTCAATGCTTCCACATCAGGCAATGAGTACTCATCTGCTGATATGAGCAAAAAAGCTATTAAATACCTCTTCCTGCTCTGCCACATTGATAATTCATCAGGACTTTCCTGTCCAAGATGTGGAAGCCTCTCTCCCTTCCTGCACCAGCTTTATCCCTCCCTCCCCATGAGTCTGGGAGGCTGACTGAGAAGCGTGGCTCTGAAGCCAAACTTCCTCCAGCCCCAAGGCCCACTGGCCATGTAGGCCAGGCCCTGCTTGCCCTGCTCTGCAGAGCTGCTCCCGTGCCCACTGCTCCCCTGTAAGCTGTGAAAAGGACGAGTTGCGAAGAAAATTGACTTTGAACTAATCAAACTATGCTGGAGATTTGTTTTTGGTTTTTGAAATAAAACGTATCTTTAATCCACTCATAACCAGCCAAACAAAGCAAAATGGGGCAGACAAGCACTTTACTACCACAGCTTTTGGGGTTTTTTTTGGTTTCAATTCTTATTCTCTTTCTTTTTACATCACAACTGGCGCTGGGTTGTGATGTAAGCCCACAGAACAAGTACTTACCTTCTCCGGAGCACACCTTGAGTGAGAAAACAGAACGTTTACTGCCCTTATCATTGCTCTTTGGTTTGGTGTAAACAACTGGTTTGTTATACACACATACACAGATATTATACCTTTGGGCTAAAAAGATCTACAGGTTTTAATCGTGCCAAAAATAGTCCCTAGAGCCACATTCACAGCAGGTTCAAGTCTTTGAGACTGCCTCTGAGAAACTGGAGAGGCATCAAACATCAACTTCTCTCTTCTCCAATCTATCTCTAGCTCCAATATCGCTCTGGCTCCTCCAAAGAGTGAAGATCCCAGAGGGAACCTGCACTGCTCAGATTTGGGTCTTTTTAACTCTTTAAGTCCAGAGACTTGTGGTTTTCTATCAGAAATAAGTCAATTTAATCAATTGCTTTTAGCTTTTGTTGGTACACCCAGGAATTTGAGTGGCAGAGCCACCAAGGGCACAACCTGATCCAAGATGAGAGTCCAGCTGGAGCTTTCGCTCGGCTCTTTGCCACGTTCTCCGGTTGAGGAGGTTTCTCTTCTGCCCAATGGTATAATAAATCAAGCAGTGACTGCAATTTTTAGCAAAAGGACCAAATTAAAGACAGGTTATAAAAATGACTTCCTAAGTGCAATATCACTTTCATAACGTCTCAGCCAGGGATTTACTGGGAAGTGGGAACCCAAATGGAAGGGCTGGCGCAAGCACCAGCAACATGGTCAGGTTTTTATCCAAGCTTTTGTCTTTTTGGTTTAGTTTGGGTCTTTTTTTGGTTGGTTCTCCAGCAATTGAGATGTCTGGATGCAGCCTCATTGCCCTGGTAAACCCCTGTGTACAAACAATGCATCAGTACTTTTGCCTTCTAAGGCAGTCAAAGTTTTCTTTTTGGGTTGTTTTGGTTTGATTTTACAAAATCTCTTTGGAAATTGCAGTAGCAAGTGCTAGTGCCCATCGTGGTGGGGGGGGAAATCACGTTTGGACAGTATTAGAAATTTATGTTTAAACTGATTTTGGCAGTTCTAACACAAACAGAAACATCCCTTCTTAGCAATACCCTTTTAATGAACAAGGATCAGACAAGTGTGCATAAAGAAAGGAAAGGAAAGGAAAATGAAAGACCAAGCAGAAGGATGATGGCTACAACAGAGAAAGTAAGCCTAACATATTGGTGCACTGATGACAAAAGGAGTAATTCAGTCTGAAAATAAAAAATTACCACTGCTAAGTTTACCATCACCACAACAAGTCCAGGATCATAACGCTGTAAAAAAGAAACACCATTTGTTAGGCAGAAACCATCAGGGGCAGAAATAGGCCGTTTGCAGGTAGGATGGGTTAAAAAGATAATCAATAACAACACGAGGCTTCTTCCTCACCCTCCACCCCATCACCGTGCTTCGCCCTGTGGAACCAGGGAGCGATTTTGAGCCGTGGTGACTTGATTCCAGAGCTGCAACCTGGAAGCTTTGGGTGTTGGAGGAGGTTGAGCTGCTGGTGACGGCCCAATTTCAGAGGCACATTTAAGCAGGCAGTGTAAAAAGGAGACAAAACAGAATCTTAAGGCAATTAAAATACTTTGGGTCAAAAGGAGCTGCGTTTGCAGGCAGAAGAATATTCAATGGGAAAAGCAATGTTTGTTTTCAACTTAACCATCATTTTGTTATGAATGAACCACCTCAGAGCACAGAACACAACTCCCGGCAGCAGCACCGGTCCCCACCACTGAAACCAACTCCCTCCATGTCCCAGGAAAACCACTGAGGGAAGGGAGTGGCCTCTGTGCTGCCCCACTGACTGCCAGGGAGATGGACAACAACCACAGAGGAAAAGGGGGTTTTTAAAGTTAAGCTTTTTACGTACTCCTTTTAAAGAACTTCCTCAAGCAAAGGTACTCCAGAGCTACTGTGCGTGACAAGGGGATCTTCACCAGCATGGAAACACGGTTCTCGGGCGCTGGGGGGCTCCCAGCTTTAGGGTTCTGCTGACTTTTTCAGGTACACCAACATGCTTTGAAGGGAAGAACAGCTTCCAAGACAAGGCAAGAATTCCCACATCTCCCACCACTGCGCAGGGATGCAAGTGCTGCCTCACAGACAGGGACCCCCCCCCCCAGTAAATCACACAGACCACACAAAGCTATGTCTGTCAGCCCACACCCCAGACAACTTCTTTTTGTTCTGAAGCAGGTCACAAACTCTTTCCTTTACAGACTGGTCATACCACACAGGCTATAAACCCCGAAACAGAGAGGGCTATTGTATAAAGACAATTCCACACATAGGGTAAAACCTCTATGGAGAGGACAAAGCACAAACCTCCAATGGGATGGGAAAACCAACAGCTTACACAAGAGTCACAGCTTAGAAAATCCAATCTCTTCAAGTAAATTAAGTTTAATTTCATTCAGAAGTGGAATGAGAGTTCAAAACCGAGCAGATACACTTGTGTTGTTTTCCTCTTCCCAAAGAGGTGGGGAAAACTTGCTCCCAGCTTGTGAGAAACTGCTCATCACCAAAATATACCCCAACAGCCACCCCATTCCTAGAGCCCATTCCAGAGGGGAGCTGGGCAGGGAGGAGGCTTCTCCAAATTCACTCCTTTCTAATTGCACAAAGTTAAAGGATCTGAACAAATCCTTTGCCAACAGTGCTATAAATTAATAGATCTTAGGAAAAGAATTAATCCCAAGGCTCCAGGGTGTCAGTCCCAGCCCCCAGGTTGTGCTGTACAGGAGGATTATCAGAGCCCAGCTGCAGCTGCAGGATGCGTGCTCCTGCTCTGGACACAGGGACGCTGCTGCTCTGCTCTTCCAAAGGGAATGCTGCACCAGATGGAGCTGCCATCTGAGCCCCTCCAAGAACGCTGGTGTTCTCAGCACGAGAGCAGAGGTTTTGTTTTCAACAGTCAAAGCAGAAAACAGTTTTCATGGCAATTTGCAGATGGAGAAGAGCTGCTCCCTCCATCAATGTCATGCACTGTAATAGGTGTAAGCTGCTTCTGAAGGGCTGGCTATCAACAGAGAAAGAACAGGATGCTCCCACTGAAAGAAGAGGTACCGCCAAAATGATGAGTTACCAGCACTCAATCAACTATACTGCAGTGTATCACCCACGTATAGCATGTGAGCACCAGAGAGGGGACAGAACACCCCGAGTCCTGCTCACTAGGTTGACATCTTCATAGGAATTCCTCCCAGGTACAAGTTTTGTGGGATATAATCCTTTAGGATGATTGATACAACACTTCATCGGAGCAGAACTAAGAGTTTTGGGACATGATCTTGTTGAGCTCTGAGGATTTTTACTCACTATCTTTATGCTACAACCAACAAAATCACAAGAGGAAATAGCCTCACATTGTGCCAGGGGAGGTTCAGGGTTGTCAAGCATTGGAATAAGCTGCCCAGGGACATGGTGGAGTCACTGCCCCTGGAGGTGTTTAGAAGATGTGTAGATGTTCTTGGGGACATCGGTTAGTGGTGGCCTTGGCAGTGCTGGGTTAATGGTTGGACCTGATGAACTTAAAAGTTATTTTCCAACCTTGTTGATTCTATGACAGCCCAACAGCCATCACGTTGAATATGCAAACTCCTCATTCAGCATATCAAAAGGCAGGAGATGAGGAAATCCACGGATTTTCACTGATGACAAGCCCTGGCACGCTCTGTGGTGCTCCTTGCTGCCTGAAACCCCACACTATGTTCTGAGCTCATTCTGATTGCTGCAAGCAGCAAACAAACAAGGGCAACCTTTTACCCTGGTCTCCATTGGGAATGAGATTTGTGAGCTCATCCTGTTTATGTCAAGACTTCTGGAAGGGGTCACAACAATCAAGAGATTCAAAGGAAGCCTGAAGTGTCTGTCGTCCTCAGCAACAAGCAAAGCCCCAGTGAGTAGAAACTCTTCTCAAAGTAGACAAGAACTGCACTGTGGACTTCAGCCTTACTAAGCAGGAGAGAAAGGACAAGTGAAAGACAAGTTGCAAACACCCCAATCACATGGGAAAAATCAAAGAGGAGCTCAAAGCTGCTTGGACAGACAAGGCCAGGGTGACAGTTGCAGAAAAGCAAAGAGAGTTGCCTGAACTTCTGCAAAGGAAGGCACAGAGTCTGGGCCAGAAAACATCCCTGACCCCAGCGAT